AGAAAAACAGCCAGGGAGGCAGTGGGGCCCTTGGATGACCAAAGGTGAAATGATTACTAAAGGATGACAGGGAAATGGCTGAGAAATTGAATGCATTTTTTGTCTCTGTCTTCACTGTGGAAGATGGGAGGTGCTTGACCCTCTCCAGAACTGCAAATTTCAAGAGCGGTGTCAAAAGACCTGAGTCGGATTGAGGTGATGAGAGAGCAGGTCCTACAGCTGATGGACAAATTAAAAACTGACAAATCACCAGGCTTAGATGGCATACATCCAAGAGTTCTGGAAAAACTCAAACGTGAACTCCTGACAAAAATATGCAAACTATCACTAAATTCTACCTCCATTCCTGAGGACTGGAATGTAACCCCCATCTTTAAAAAAGGTTTCAGAGGCCGGTCAGTCTAACATTGATACCAGGTAAGTTGGCGGAAACCGTTAGTAAGAAGAAGAAGAAGAGAAGAGATTGGATTTATACCCTGCCCTTCACTACCCAAAGGTGTCTCAGAGCGGCTTACAAACTCCTTAAAGATAGAATTATTAGGCACATTGATGAACAAAACCTATTGAGGAAGAATCAACATGGATTCTGTTAAGGGAAAATCTTTTCTCACTAACCTTTTAGAATTCTTTGAGGGAGTGAACAACAAGAAGAAGAAGAACAGACTGGATTCCCCATCCTTCACTCGGAGTCTCAGAGCAGCTTACAAACTCCTTTCCCTTCCCCACAACAGACACCCTGTGAGGTAGGTGGGGCTAAGAGAACTCTGTAGAGAACAGCTCTTGGGAGAACAGCTCTTGTCAGAACTATGGCTTGCCCAAGGTCATCCAGCAGCTGCATGTGGAGGAGTGAGGAATCAAACCCCGTCCTCCCAGATTAGAGTCTGCACACTTAACCACTACACCAAACAAGCATGTGGACAAGGGTGTCCCAATAGATGTTGTTTACGTAGACTTCCAGAAAGCTTTTGATAAAGGTCCTCATCAAAGGCTACTAAATAAACTCAGCAGTCATGGGATGAGAGAACAATTCCTCTTGTGGATTAAAACCTGGTTAATTAACAGGAAACAGAGTATAAATGGGCAGTTTTCACAGTGGAAAGTGGTAAGCAGTGGAGTACCGCAGGGCTCAGTTCTAGGTCTGGTTCATTAATGATATGATGTTGGGAGTAAGCACTGAAGTTGCTAAGTTTGCAGATGACACTAAGTTGTTCAGGGCAGTGAGAACCAAGGAGGACTGTGAGGAGCTCCAGAGGGATCCGTCGAGGCTGGGCGAGTGGGCATCAATGTGGCAAATGAGGTTCAACGTGGGCAACTACAATGTAATGCACATTGGAACTCAAAAATCCTAACTATAAATGTATGTTGATGGGGTCCAAACTGGTGGTAACTGACCAGGAGAGAGATCTTGGAGTCATGGTAGATAATTCACTGAAGATGTTGACTCAGTGTGCGACAGCAATAAAAAAAAAGGCAAATGGTATGCTGGGGATTATTAGGAAGGGGGTTGAAAACAAAACAGCCAATATCATAATGCCCCTGTATGAATCTATGGTGTGGTCTCATTTGGAATACTATGTACAGTTCTGGTGACTATTATCTCAAAAAAGATACTATAGCATTGGAAAAGGTGCAGAAAAGGGCAACTAAAATGATTAAGGAGATGGAACACCTTCCCTAGGGCTCTTTAACTTGAAGAAACAATGATTAAGAGGTTACATGATAAAGGGGTTACATGGTGAAGGCTTCTCCCTCTCTCACAATACAAGAACTCATGGGCATTCAATGAAATTAGTGAGCTGTAGACTTAGAACAGATAAAAGGAAGTACTTCTTCACAGGGGTAATTTCCTGCGGGAACGCACAGGAGCGGAGCTCCAGCAGTAAGGAGCCCAGGAGGCAGGCACATACAACAAGCCCTGCCCCCTGCTCCCAGCAGCCCTCAGTTGGGCCACAAGGAGCAAGAAGCAGCCAGATAAGTTGCAGAGCCCCCCCCCCCG